AAATGCTTCCCAAGTCGAGAATTCTTTTTCTCTAAGAGGTGGTAGTGACCTTTTTCTAATTGAAGGGGTAAGAGATAATGGTTTATTTCTCTCGCCTTCAGACTACTTCTGCCAGACAGATGAACACACAACAGTCAACAACTCTCAAGCCCTTATCAGGACACCAGAGTGTAAACCACAGGAGAGAAGCATGTAACTCACCTGGGTCAGAGGTGTGCTCAGGCCAGCCCATGCCATTCAGTCCTGTCGGGGTACTCTGGGAGAAAGGGCGGTTTCTTCTCAGGAGAGTCAGAGATTCTGGAGAAGTACTGGTCATCTTTCTCCAACACTAAGAGAAAAGGAAAAAGGCAAAGAGTAGATGAAGAAAACAGAGCACAAGTCATCAATGCCACTCTAATTTTTCTGACTTTGGCTGTGAGCAAGGTACACAATCAGAATGTGCAGTTTCCAAAGATACTATTCACACAAAAATCTGTGCAAGAAAGGATACAGCACTTGGCAGCCTCCACAGCTGTATGTGGCCTTGGGACAGGCAGGTTACCACTGGCTTACATTGGTTCATTTGTCAATATCCTTGTAAATAAGGTGTGAGGTGGGCTCTTGGCCGGCATCTGAAATGTGGCATCCTAACTGTTTCCTAGCTGGTGAGGATGGTTCACTGTGCTTGGAGCATCTATCAAATTTTTATATATCAGTTAATTAACTTGAAGCATACAGTTCTTAATTGTACTGTGCCAGTCATGGAAAACACCTGTTTTCTTCCAGGAGGCTGAGTTGGTAAAGAACTAGGCTGAGGGTAATTTTATAACTTGCCTTCAATAAAAATCTCAGGCTCTGAGTCACTAATGGGTTTCCCTGGACAGAAGCCTTGGGCACATGTTACTGCATTTTATTTTTTCAACTGGAAGAAGAAGCATAGCCTTACCAGAGTGAGAGCATGAGAAAGAATATACAGGCTACTTCTCCAAACTCCACCTATATTTTTCTTGCAGATCCTGTTACAGGTCCTTTACTGTAATAAGCTTTTTCTATGAATATGATTATGTGCTGAGTTCCCATAGTTCTTCCAGAAAATCACTGAGTGTATAGGTGGTCTTTGGTTATCCTCAAATGACTTAATTCTTAAAAATTGAACTCTTGGGCCCTCCCTGGTGGGGCAGCGGGTTAAAGCACAGCACAAAGAAGCTTAAGCTACTTCTGCATGAGTTCGATTCCGGCCTGCCCCAGAGGTGACCACATGTTATAGCAGACCTCTCCTGACCTGCCCACTGCTCCCCTCAGCAGTGTACTTCATCCATCTGCCTGTTCCTTACCCCAGTCTGTCTCTGGTGAATCCTCTCATCCTCCGCATCTCTGGCCTGTACCCCAGTTCTGTATGCATAAATAAGTAAATCTGTAAAAATAAATAAAAATTAAAAAAAAACACTGGAAATAAAGGGTAGGGTATTTTATAACAATAATGAGTTATTCCATCAGGAAGATACAACAAATACACCTTATGCCGGAGCAACAAAATACATAAAGCAAAAACAGAAATAAAGAAATAGATAACTGAGCAATAACAGTTGGAAGTTTCAATACCCAGCTTTCAACAATGGGAAAATCAGATGATAAAGGAAATAGAAGACTTGAGCAACACTATAGACCAGCATATATTCTTCTCAAGTGAACATGGAAAATTCTGCAAGGTTAGGTAGTATAAGTCCAAAAGTTAGATAATTAATTGAGATAAAACAAATCTCAATAAATTTGAAAGGCTAGAAATTATACAAAGTGTATTCTGTAAGCACAATAGAATGAAATTAGAAATTAATATTGATAAATCTGGGAACTCACAAATATGTAGAAACACACTCCTAAATAACCAATGGATCAAAGAAGAAATCAAAAGAAAGATCAGAAAATGCTTTAGGATAAATGAAAGTGAAGACAAAATAGGGCAATATTTAAGGGGCACAGTGCTTGGAAAGAAGTTTATAGTTGTAAATGCCTCTATTAAGAAAAAAGAAATCTCAAATCAACATCTGGATCTATGCCTTATAACACTGGAAAAAGAAATGTGAACATAAAGGGAGACAAAGGAAGGAAGTAATAAAGATTGGAGTAGGAATTAATAGAGTGATAATAGAGAATAGCAATATCAAGAAAAGACAAAGAATAAAGAAAACTTAAAAGCAAATATTGGTTTTTAAGAAGATCAATAAAATTGGCAGACTTTTATGTGGTTTGACCAAGAATAAAAAAAAAGGGCTCAAATTTTTAGAATCAGAAATTAAAAGGGGAACATTACAGTTGATGTTATAGAAATAAAAAGAGTTTTAAAGAAATACTGTAAACAATGTGTACTTAGATGTACTGTAAACAATACATACAAGAAATACTGTAAACAATATATTACAAGAAATACTGTAAGCAATGTACTTAGATGAAATGGACAAATTCTTAGAGACATAAGTTCCCCAAAGTCGAGATGAAATAAACAATATGAATTGACTTATAACAAGTGAAGAGATTGATAAGTAATCACAAAGCAACCTACAATGGAAAGTCTAGGTCTGAATGGTTTTCCCTCTGAATTACCAAATGAGGATATGGAAAACAGAATAAATGTTAATTATCACAAGCTATTTCAAAATACAGAGAAGGAACTAGTATCTTCCAACTTTTCCATACTTATGAGACCAACTGTACCCTGACATCAAAAACAGACAAAGGTATTACAAATTGAGAATATCTTAAGAATATGAATATAAAAATAAATCTTCCACAAAATAAACCAAACTCAGCAAAGTATAAACAGAAATACATCTTGACCAAGTGGTATATATCCATTGCAGAAACACAAGGATGGTTTCATATCAGAAAATGAATTAATACAATGGGTAATGTATATCCATACAACAAAACAAAAATTGCATGACTATCTCATTAGACTAACAGGAATACCTGATTATTAAGCTTGTCTTGGCAAGAAGGTTCAAATTTTAAATGTCAAAGTTGGTCTTGAGAATTATCTTGAAAAAATGTTACTCTAAGCTATTCTTGTGTCTCCCATAAGTCTCCAAATAATTCCATCACTTAATGAAAAGCTTAGGTTAGAAATAAGTTTCCCCATGAAAAAATTTTTTTCAAATTGTCTAGAACCTATTCATGATTTTGATTACTGTGAATTTTTGATCACAGTCATTTTATCTGGGCCAACTCTACAATGCAGTATAAGCACACACCTATGCTAATGGAAAGCCACCATGCCCTTTAGCTGATCTGAGTGGCCAGCACCTCAAGGACCAGCATCGGTATGCCGTGAGCCAGGGTCAGAGCTCAAGGCATATACCATTCTCTAACCGTGGTCAGTGCTAATCTACTGGCTTTCTCTAGGTCTACAATTCTAATGGGGCCTAACTCTGGACAGCCTTAAAGATCAGCTCCCTTCTTAGCTTCCCATCTGGACAAAGCACATGTTTGACAGTTGTAGCTCTTTTGTTTTTTCAACCTTTCCTGGTTTTATCTTTCTTCAACAGAGACCTGGTCTGTCCCTCCAGCCAACTGGAATCTTTTAGACCATAAAATTACCATCTAACATAATTTACATGTGCTTGAGACCCAACACTCACTATCCCATCACATATTCTGGGAAAAAGGTTCAAGGAGGCTGCTATACAACTCAAGTAAAAGGCCTGTCCCTCAGAAGAGAGAAACCCAAGTTCCGTAATTAGGTCAGAGGCAACACTCAGTGTGGGGGTTTCTTCTTCTGGTCACATGCTGGGTCAGTATTTCTGCTCAAAACAAGCCAATGGAGCTGGGCTTGGGGATTCAACAAATAAATGCTTCCCAAGTCGAGAATTCTTTTTCTCTAAGAGGTGGTAGTGACCTTTTTCTAATTGAAGGGGTAAGAGATAATGGTTTATTTCTCTCGCCTTCAGACTACTTCTGCCAGACAGATGAACACACAACAGTCAACAACTCTCAAGCCCTTATCAGGACACCAGAGTGTAAACCACAGGAGAGAAGCATGTAACTCACCTGGGTCAGAGGTGTGCTCAGGCCAGCCCATGCCATTCAGTCCTGTCGGGGTACTCTGGGAGAAAGGGCGGTTTCTTCTCAGGAGAGTCAGAGATTCTGGAGAAGTACTGGTCATCTTTCTCCAACACTAAGAGAAAAGGAAAAAGGCAAAGAGTAGATGAAGAAAACAGAGCACAAGTCATCAATGCCACTCTAATTTTTCTGACTTTGGCTGTGAGCAAGGTACACAATCAGAATGTGCAGTTTCCAAAGATACTATTCACACAAAAATCTGTGCAAGAAAGGATACAGCACTTGGCAGCCTCCACAGCTGTATGTGGCCTTGGGACAGGCAGGTTACCACTGGCTTACATTGGTTCATTTGTCAATATCCTTGTAAATAAGGTGTGAGGTGGGCTCTTGGCCGGCATCTGAAATGTGGCATCCTAACTGTTTCCTAGCTGGTGAGGATGGTTCACTGTGCTTGGAGCATCTATCAAATTTTTATATATCAGTTAATTAACTTGAAGCATACAGTTCTTAATTGTACTGTGCCAGTCATGGAAAACACCTGTTTTCTTCCAGGAGGCTGAGTTGGTAAAGAACTAGGCTGAGGGTAATTTTATAACTTGCCTTCAATAAAAATCTCAGGCTCTGAGTCACTAATGGGTTTCCCTGGACAGAAGCCTTGGGCACATGTTACTGCATTTTATTTTTTCAACTGGAAGAAGAAGCATAGCCTTACCAGAGTGAGAGCATGAGAAAGAATATACAGGCTACTTCTCCAAACTCCACCTATATTTTTCTTGCAGATCCTGTTACAGGTCCTTTACTGTAATAAGCTTTTTCTATGAATATGATTATGTGCTGAGTTCCCATAGTTCTTCCAGAAAATCACTGAGTGTATAGGTGGTCTTTGGTTATCCTCAAATGACTTAATTCTTAAAAATTGAACTCTTGGGCCCTCCCTGGTGGGGCAGCGGGTTAAAGCACAGCACAAAGAAGCTTAAGCTACTTCTGCATGAGTTCGATTCCGGCCTGCCCCAGAGGTGACCACATGTTATAGCAGACCTCTCCTGACCTGCCCACTGCTCCCCTCAGCAGTGTACTTCATCCATCTGCCTGTTCCTTACCCCAGTCTGTCTCTGGTGAATCCTCTCATCCTCCGCATCTCTGGCCTGTACCCCAGTTCTGTACGAATAAATAAATAAATCTAAAAAAAATTTTTAAAAATTTAAAAAAACTAAAAAATAATAAAAATAAATACATAAATAAATAAATAATTGAACTCTTGGTGAGTTATGATTTAGGATGGTGTAGGGAAAATGAGTTAAAAATCAGGTTTTTTATACCCTCTTGCCATTAGCCTATGGTCTGCTCCTGTGGTCCTGCATGGCTATGATTATGGACACCTGGGCCCAGGGAACATGGGGCATGAGCATTATGTACATGTGCACACTAGGCCTAGCCCTATAAGGGAGGAAATATAAAGGTGGCATCACTCAAATTGAGAGACAGCCAGAGAAATGCTGAGTCCATTCCCCAATTCAGCATGTAAAGGCCTGCATTTAGAGGCCTGTAAAAATCGAGACAAAAATTACCTTTTCATCTGTGAGAACTGACAATGAGCCTACCCTGCCTGGGATGGCTGCATAACAGATGGAGTGGCCCCATTCTTCCAAGTTCCTTCCTCTTTGGCCTGCAAACCCTAGCTATACCACACAAGCAAGTATAGGAGGATGCTAATGGGTAGAAGGGAGGCTGACAAGCTGCCTAGAGACTGCAAGATATGAGAAGGCACAAATGCAGACAGCGGTGAGGGGAGTTTCCCTTACTGTTTCATCTATCCCAGAAAAGGCACCACAGAAACTCCAACCCAGAACCCCAACAGGTACAAACAAAAGAGTCTCCAAGAAAAGCTGTTCCCTCAGAAAAATAACACTGGGAAAGGGTGGCTGTGGCAGCAGACTAATGCTCCCAGTACACACATCCAGCCTGTGCCTGAATCTAACATGGCACAGGGAGTTCGCAGATGTGATTAAGGTTAAGGACTCTGAGGTGGGAAGATTGTCCAGGTGGGCCCCATCTAATCATGAGTTTTCAGAAGACCATCTCCTTAGATCAGGATCAGAGGGAAATGTGACTACAGAGAAATGATCAGGGCAATGCCACATCACTGACAGTGAAGATGCAGGAAAGGCCAGGAGCTAAAGAATGTGGGTAGTCTGCAGAAGCTGGAGAAGACGAGGAAGCTTCTGGTACCCTTATTTTTAACTCGGTGAGGGCCACATCAGACTTCTATCTAGAGAACTATAAGGTGATACTGTAACAGGAGCCCCTTGGTTTGGGTGTTGCAGAGTGTGAGTGGCTTTGCTGAGGTTTCCCTCAGCAGCCAGGGTTGACTGTCAGCCCCAGCATGAGCCATGAGCCTCTGGGAGGCAGGACCTTGGCATGCCGGGGCCCTCTTGCCCAGTGTACAGCCTATGGGCAAGCACTGGTGCTTGTATGGTGTCTGAGCCAATGCCATGACAGCTCATAAAGTAGCTACTTGAGCGAGAGTGTAGCCCCAATGATGCCTGCCTCAGCGGTGGGGGGTCTCTGCACAACTGGTCCTGCTGCAGGGCTAGACAGTCTGACTTCTGCATAAGTCAGGTTTTAATACCATGCCAGAATTGAAAAATGAGCCAATCAGACTCTAGTTCCCAATGGGCCAATCAAACGTGGGCTCCTATCAGTGCCATTCAAGGGGCTTCACTGAAAAGCAAAAACTAAAAGAAAAAATTAACATCAAGCAGCACATTAAAGAAGTCTTAAAGGAATGATGATAAAGCAACAGAAGAACAAATATAGAAGTAACAGACATCTAAATCAGATAGCATGGAGGAGGAAGAAAGTAACAGAGGCCCATAAGAATAAGTCAGAGACCAGATGTCCAATGAGTCACATAAGTAGTCCATCATATACTAACCTCCGTTGAACGTTTAAATAAAAATGAATGGAAGTAATGTATAGCACATGGAAATTGAATTTAAATGAAATATAAGAGGAATGCCTGAAAAGATGAAAAACAACACAACAAACAAAAACCTCCCAAATGCAGCCAAATGGCAAACAGTAAGGTAGTATCTCAATAACCACCTTAAGGGTAAGTAGTCTAAATTCATCAGTGAAAAGATGTAGACTGGCTAAGTGGATTTCAACACAAAGTTCAAATTTCTTTTATTTACAGAAACCCATATGACCAACAAAGACAAGCACAGATTTAGAGTTAGACTGAAATATAATTCTATAAACAAATGGCAATAAAATACATGGATATATATCAGACATAGCTATGCTTATATCAGATAGAGCAGACATCCACTTTATCTGATATAAGCATAGCTATATCTGATATATATATATAGACCAAATTGGTCTAACAGCTAATGAGAGATTGAGACAGACCCTGTATTATGACTAGGGAGCTAGTACTAGAAGTGATAAATAGAATTGCACCAAATGATGGAGCACTGAGGTGCATAAGCAATAACAATTATTTATTTTATTTTTTAAAGGTTTATTTTACATATTTATGCATACAAGAATCGGGGTGTAGGCTAGAGGTGTGGGGAGGGTGAGAGGATTCACTAGAGACAGAGTGGGGAGCAGAACAGGTGGATTAACTGAAATATACTGCTGAGGGGAGCAGTGGGCAAGACAGGAGAGGTCTGCTGTGCCTTGTTAGTTAGCATCCTGGTGAGAGACTGAACTCATGGCTGCCAATAGCGTCATAGTGCTGAGATTTTTGTGCTACCAGGAAGGCCCTGAAACAATAACATAACTAAAGAGATACTGATAATGCAAGTAGGGATTTTAATGCTTTATCTACAACTATTAATAGGTCATAAAACAAAGAATAAACAAGAAAAACAAGATATTTAAATAAGGAAGCTAGGGCCCTATCTGATGGTGCAATGGGCTAAAGCACAGCTCTATGAAGCTCCCCACAGCCACTGCAGCACAAAGTGGACCCCCAGCCAGAGAGGTGACCCACATGGCGCAGCAGACTTTTGTCTTGCCCGCTGCTCCCTTCAACAGTGTACTTTGTCAGTCTGCCTGATCTACTCCCTATTCTCTCTGGCGAACCTTCTCACCCCCCGGACCTCTGACCTGTACCACAGTTCTGTGTGCATGAATAAATAAATAGTTAAATAAATAAGGGAGCTAGACCAAATTGGTCTAACAGACATCTAAGAAACATTCTATCCCAAATCACTCCAACATAATTTTTTTTCAAGTGCATGTGCAACATTTTCAAGATTAGACCATATGGTGGGATATAAGTTAATTATTAATAAAGCTACAAAGTATGAAATTATACTGAGTACTCTCTTGTACCATAATACCATAAAATTAGAATTCCACTCTAAGGAAACAACAGGAGAAACTATGAATACATGGTAACTAAACAACATGCTCCTGAGTAGATATTGGATGAAAGTGGAAATTAAATAAAAAATACCTTTAGACAAATGAAAATAAAAATACAAGTAACCAGAAGCTGTGGGACACAACAAAAGCAGTTTTAGAGGGAAGATAATTGCAATACAGGTCCGTAAGAAACAACAAAAGGGCCTCCCTGGTGGCCTACAGGTTATGTCTCATCACTATCACCACTATGGCCTGGCCAGGGAGCTAACTAACCTATGGCACAGCAGACCTCTCCTATCACGTCCACTGCTCCTCAGTGTATTTCAGTAAATCTTCCTGTTCTGCTACACACTCTGTCTTGCCTACACCCCGCTCCTCTGTGCAAAAATAATAAAAAAAGAAATAACAAAGCTCCCAAATAAACAGCCTAAAGCTACCCCTACAAAACTTGAGAAAGAGGAACAAACAAGATCCAAATTTAGTAGAAGAAAGGAAATTGTAAAAATAAGAGTGACAATAAATGAAACAGATAAAATAGAGTGTATAATAAAATCAATGAAGGTAAAAGTTATTTAAGAACATAAGCAAAATAGATAAATCTCTAGATGGATAACAAAGAAAAGAGAGAGAAAATAGGATTGGAAGTGAAAGAGGAGAAATTACCACAGTTGAAACAAATAAAAAGAAATATGCCAATAAATTTGAATATCCTGAAAATGGACAAATTCTAATTCAATATGATCTACCAAGATCAACTCAAGAAGAAACAGAAGAGCTGAACAAATGGATCATAAACATGAAAATTGAAACAATTAAAAAAAAAAAACTTCCCCAAAGTCTCAGGACCATACAGACAGACATACATCTGTCTCTGTAAAGACAGATGAATTTTATCGAGCCTTTAAACAAGAAGCAATACCCACCTTGTACAAATTGTTTTTAAAAATACAGTTTAAACAGCGGAGGCAATGAGCATAATACATGTTTGAGGCCAACAATTCCCTAATACCAAAACCAGACAAAGAGAGCGCAAGAAATTATAAACCAATATCCATGATGAACATGTATACAAAAATTTTCAACAAAATACTTGTACTACAATCAAGTGGGATCTATCCCGGGATGCAAGGATGTTTTAACATGTGCAAATCAATCATGTAAGACATCAGATCAACAAATGTAAAATTCAAAAATCATATAGTATCAATAGATGCAGAGAGGACATTTGATAAGATTCAGTATCCATTTATTATAAAAACTCTGAATAAGATTGGAATATAAGAACCTTACCTCAATCTAGCCATATATATAAACCAATAGTCAACACAATACTCAATTGTGAAAAACTGAAAGCTTTCACCTTAAGAATAAGGTGAAAATAAGCTTTCACCTTAAGCATCAAGACAATGATGCCCCTTGTCACCACTTCTGTTTAACTTAGTATCAGAAGCTTTGGCCGGAGCTATCACATTAAAATAGGAAATAGAGAGAATCCAGGTCATAAAAGAAGTAAAGCTATTGATACTTGCAGATATGTTATTACATAGAGAAAGTCCTAAAGATTCCATCAAAATATTAGAAATGGTAGATGAATACAACAAAGTATCCAGTTGCAAAATTATACAAAAATCTGTTGTTTTTTTAAATATACAAATAATGAACAAGAAGCAAAATGAATCAAGAAAATGGGCCTCCCTGGTGGAATAGGGGTTAAAATCTCAACGCCATCAAGCTATCACCAGCCACTGCTGCATAAGTTTGATCTCTGGACAAGTAGTTAACCCACATGGTACAGCAGACCTCTCTTGTCTCACCCGCTGCTCCCCTCAGCAGTGTATTTCAATAGATTTGCCTGTTCTGCTCTCTCTGTCTCTGGTGAATCCTCTCAGCCTCTCACCCTTCTGGCCTACACCCCAGTTCTTGTATGCATAAATAAATAAAGACAAATCTTTAAAAAGTCAAGAAAATAACCCATCTATAATTGCTTCAAAAAGAATACCTCAGAATTAATCTAACTAGGTAAGAACTTATATAACAAGAGCTACCAGAAGTTACTAAAGACCTCCAACAACAAATGATGGAAAGAATGCAGGGAAAGAGGAACCCATTGTACTGCTGGTAGGAATGTAAATTGGTGCAATCATTATGGAAAACTATCAGTGTTTACTTTAGAAAACGAAAGATGCTAATACTATTCCTATAATATAGAATGTTCATAGAAAAATTATTTACAATAACTAGGACATGGAATTAACCTAAATATAAGTCAATGACTAGATCAAGATGATGTGGTATATCAATACTATGGAATACTATTTAGCCACAAGGAAAGGTGAAATACAGCTAATTATGAGAATTATTTATAGTAAAATAAGTCATAATGATTAAAAAATACTGAATCTTTACACAGAAGATTTGATAAAAGTGCTTATAAAAACTAGTGACCATAATTAAACACTGTAAACGCTCTAAGGTTAAATAGGGGGAGAAAAGGGTAAGGGACAAAGAGATATAGAAGAGGATAGAATACTTTTTTTTTTAAAGATTTATTTATTCATTCATACAGAACTGGGGTACAGGCCAGAGATGCGGAGAGTGAGAGGATTCACCAGGGAGAGAGCGGGGAGCAGAACAGGCAGATGGATGAAGTACACTGCTGAGGGGAGCAGCGGGAGGGCCAGGAGAGGTCTGCCTGGTCAGGAGAGGTCTGCCTCACCATGTGGCTCTCCTCAGGGGCAGGCGGGGATCAAACTCATGCGGAAGTGGCTTAAGCTTCTTAGTGCTGTGCTTTAACCGGCTGTGCCACCAGGGAGGGCCCAAGGATAGAATACTTTAACATTCTTTTTTAAAAGTGTTTTCCTGTTAGTACCTTTTGATAACATGGTTAGTACCTTATAATACAAAGGGAATTATGTTTAGTGCTTTCTGTAGCAATGGAAATTACTTTTCTCTTTTAATATGTATTTTCTTTTATCTATCCCCTTCAATTGAACACTTTCTCCTGCCATGAAAGAAAGTAAGTACTGTATTTTCTATATCACTTCAATTGTATCCCACTGGTCACTGCTATATTTTTGGGGCAATACATTTTTTAACAAATATTTTGCAGGTATCCTTTAAAAATAAAACACTGATTTTAGAAGGGAAAATTACAAACTCCAATTCTTCTTTTGAGTCCTGGAAAATATTTTGGATATAAATGATTTTAGTTATACCTTTATTTTATTTGTGTCACTGGAGACTCTATTTTATCTATTTTTTGCATTCCTTTTGTCTTGGTATATGGCAATCTCAAAAAAAAAATAGACATAGCACATATCATTAGCCTAACTTCTTTTTGTGGATAAATAATATGAATATCTATTTTCCCAGAACTGGAATAGCTGATACTATGCATTTGGACTTACAAAGGACAGCAAATAGCCCCCAAATCCTGAAAAAGATATCAGAGAGAATTCACACATTCCAATTTCAAAACTGAATACAAAGCCACAATGACTAAAATAATGTGACACTGATACAAGTATAGACACATCACCACTGAAATGGAGTTGAAATTATTCATATATCTAATGAAAATCATGTGATTTTTTTTTTACAAGGGTGCTAAGACTAATCAGTGAGGAATAGTCACTTTAACAAATGAGTTGAGAGAAAAGATACTCACTTCATAAAATCTGAATTGGATTTCTGACTTACACTAAATACATGTTAACTCAAAATAAATTAAAAACATAAAAAAGGAGCAAAAGGCACAAAAACTCTTAGAAGAAAGCATAGTGATGCTTTACAGAATTACTAATACCCTGGGGTTGGCAATGAAGTCTTAGCTCTGACACTAAACTCACCAACAACAAAAGAAAAAAAAAGGTGAATTGCATTATATCAAAAGTACATGTTTTTGTGCATCATAGAAAAGTAGTGAAAGGCAACTTTCATATGGGAGAAAACATTTTCAAACCACTTGGTAGTGATCTAAAACCTGATATACATAAAGAACACTACAATTCAACAACAGAAAAACCAACAATCCAATTAAAAAATGAGAGGCAGAGCAGTTGAATAGATATTTCCCTAAAGAATTTATGCAAATTCCCAACAAGCAGATGAAAATATGTTCAACATTAGTCATTGGGAAAATGCAAATCAAATAACAAAGAAGCACCAATAACACCCACTGGAAAGGTATAATTTATACAGGAAACAACTAATATGGTTGGGATGTGCAGAACTTGCAACCAATATACATTGTTGGTAGGAATGTAAAATCATATAGCCAGTATGGAAAACAGTCAGCAGTTTCTCAAAAAAATTAATCACAAGATTACCATTTGATCCATAAACTTAATTTCTATGTATTACCTAAAAGAATAGAAAACATGTCTCCAAATAGAAACCTGTACATAAATGTTCCTAACAGCACTATTTGTCATAGCCCTAAGATAGGGACAACCCAAATGTCTATCAATAAGGAATGGGTCAACTAAAAAAAAAAAAAAATGTTCATACATTATTCAGCCACAAATGAAGTAGTGATATATGCTACAGTGTAGATAAGTCCCAAAAACATTAAGCAAAAGAAGTCAGACACAAAAAGTCCATACATTACATAATTAACTAAGTCCATGGACACAGAAAAAGCTTAGTGCAAGTTAGGGTTTGGGGAGAAAATTGGGTTTTGACTGTTTAATGGGTAACTGAGATTCAGAAAATCTTTTAGGAGGAGACAGGTGATATTTATAAAGACTTGTGAAGCTACTAACTGCTAGTGAATGTATACTTCAACATGGTTAATTTTTATGTTATGTGCATTTTACCTCAATAATGAGAGACTGGCTATTCAGTGATGAGGTGAGACTTGGGAATGTGTATTTTACAAATACACAATAATAAGAAATATTGCTATTTTGTGTAGGGAAAGGAAAAGAAACAGAGTCAGGAATTGAGTAAAGGTTTGCTGTATACACTATTAGGGTCATATTTTTTAATGGACTAACAGTTTAACGTAAAGATTATGGCATTAGCCTGTCCTCCAAGACAATACAAATTTGAGTTAATATTTTGTTTAATTAATTTAAAATTATTACATCAGAATGCCATGTGCCTTTATGAATGTAGAGCTAATGCTGTGTAGCATCTAACACAGTGTTCAACATAAAGTAGAACTTTACTAAATGGTGACTGCTAGACTAAGGGGGCAGGGTGCCACCTTCTTCAGTTCTGCTGCACTGGATTGCACAGAGCTGAAAATGGATACACTGCAGAGAGCGAAGCATGAGCCATGCCCTCGGTGGCTCTGGGCAGACAACTATGAAGTATCTTTCCTGAAAGGGGTACTGGCAAGTAGTCAGGGATGGGAGTGATTCAGGAAAATTCTTTATTTGCAGGGTAAGTGTAATTAGCTTACTTGGACTCCATCTTTGTGTGCTATCCCTGGGCTCATCTTCCTTTCAATCTGGGCCTGCTTCTCCAACTTCCTTTGTGTCATCTCCAGCCACAGGTCATCTAAACTGGTGTGTGAATGTGGAAGGACATGCCTGGACTGGAGAGGAACTTCACTGGGGACATTCTCTACAGAGACGGAGAGCAGGATCTGCGTTACCATGTTGGTGTGAAAAGCCTTCATCTGACTGCAGGAGCAGCTGCGCTTCTTGCCTGGTTCTTCCCATGCCATGTGGTTCTGGAACAGAGAGAACATTCAGCTGGGTAAACACGTCTTACTTCTCTCCAGTTTCTTTTGGGGATAACCTCATGCTTTGTTTAAAATACAGATACTAGTGAAATACTTTTTTCAAAGTAAGTTGGGAAACTGTAAAGACTAGGAACATAAGAAATCTTGTTTCTCTTGAAATTTTTACTTTCAAGACTATTTAAACAAATTAAATCTTCCACATTAATCAAAATCAGATCTTGAAAGTAATTACTGAATTTAAAAAGATTATCAGAAGTGCTTTTTAAAATTCAGTAGTTGGGGTAACAGCTCTCCTTAATTTTCCCTCTCTTAAGTTCTGACAACAGAATTTGTCTAAAAGCATAATTACTTCTTCGTTGGTACAAACATTAACCAGACATATCTTACAAACATACTACTTTTACTTTGTCAGGTTATAGCTATACTCTCAGGTACCCTAGCTGACTGCAAAATAAAATTTGTCCACATGAACAGAATATCTGGCTTTGTGTTGACATAAACATCCTCTCTGTTCTCTTGAGTCAATCAATACAGGGCCACTGACAAAAAAAAAAGAAACACCTTTTTATTCCCATGTATTCAAGTTTCACAACTCCCCACAATCACCCCAATGAACACTTCTTTCACAGCAACACCTCTTGGAATGTCATCCCCAACCACTTTGTGTATAAGATTCCGAGGAAATAAAGACATAGTTTCTTGTAACAATTTCAAGAGTCTACCTTCAAAATGTATACATATATATGATTATGCATACACATGAAAATAGATAATGAGAGCAAGAGAGGGGGAGAAAGATTGAGGAATAGCCTGGAAATTAGGACTTTTCAAAGCTCTCCAGGAAATTCTAATATGCAGTGATATAAACACTGATTCCAGGTAGGGATTTCAGAGAGCAAGACAGGACATACCATTGAGTTTCCTGTTTTTAGGTGTTTTTTTGTTGTTGTTACCATATATTCTATTTACGTACATATGGGTGGACACCAGAGAATCCTGCAATCGGGAAGTGCTAAAGGCACAGAGAAGTCCCCATCATAGCTTCATTTTGTAGCCAAAGGACCAGCTAGCAAGATAGAAAGCTTTTAGAAAGTAACTGCACTTACCCTTGCATGTTAAAAGCACCATCCCCCCCACCCCCCATTCCTTGCCTTCAGCAAAGCATGAGTGCGGAACTCTGAACCTCAGCTAGATAAAACGAGAAGCAATTCTCCCTCCAGCCAAGTGGTATTGAGAAGGCCCAGAAAGCTGGAATTTGATCCTCTGTCAGTGGTAATGAAGCTTTCTCCCAAGATGTCTTCCATCCCCTAGCGGGTGATAATGAGGTTCCCTCCCTGCCCTGCTGGGTGATGTAAAGAAGGAATAGTAGACTGCCAGAATGTTAGCCAGCACACAGCATTTGCAAAGATCCTGGATCCCATGAGGATGTGGAATAAGTGTTCCCCAACCATGGCGGTATCAGTGTACCTCTAGTAAAGAACCCTAACTCCCAATCACACTTGTCAATAGTGAGACACAAGCTCTGCATAAGCTTATTAATATCGGTCAAATAAGGAGCCTGAGATTTCACCACACCTGGTAGTAAGGAGACAGGACTCACTTTCTCACACTGGAGTATGTCAAAACAGAAGATTTAGATAAGACACAGAGACTAAAGACATACTATTTTTTTTCTTAAGATTTATTTATTTAAGCATACGTAATTGGGGTACAGGCCAGAGGTGCAGGGGAGATGAGAGGATTCACCAAAGACAGAGTGGGGAGCAGATGAGGCAAATTGATGAAGTACACTGCTGAGGGGAGCAGAGGGTAAGACAGGAGAGGTCCGCTGTGTCTTGTGGGTCACCCCTGTGGCCAGGAATTGAACTCATGCTGCAGTGGCTGCAATAACTTCATAGTGCTGTTCTTTAACCCCGTGTGACACCAGGGAGGGCCCCAAAGACATACTATTTCTAAAGCCTAGAATACAATAAAAACTTATTCATCATTCAAAGAATGGAGAAAATCTTAACCTGAATAAGAAAAAAATGATTCAACAGTTGCAAATACCAACAAAACTCAGCTAATGGAATTATCTGACAATGATTTTGAAGCAATTTCCATAACATGCTTCAACAAGTGATACAAATGTTCTTGAAAGAAATGAAAAAATAAGATGTCTTGGAAAGATAAAATCACTCTAAGAACACTAAATGGAAATTGTAGAACTTAAAAATGTAACCAAAATAAAAAATATCAGTGGATAATGGAGAGGACAAAGGATTTGAAGGCAAACAACTGAAATCATACAATCAAGAAAGACAAAGGGAGGGCCTCCCTAGTGGCACAGGGGCTAAAGTCTCAGTGCTATCAACCTATTGTCGCATGAGTTTGACTAACAATTTCCCATATTTGGCAAAAGATATAAATCTATAGATTTAAGTTGAACAAATCCCAAACAGGATAAATCTAATAAATTTACATGAACAAACATAACCAAACCTCTGGACAAAGGACACAGATAAAAACTGGAAGAGAGAAAGACAACTTGTTTCTAAGTATAAAGAAATCTAAATGACATGACCAGAAGCCTGGAGGTCAGCAGGAAGTAGCACAACATTTTTATTTTCAAGTGTCATTAAAAAAAAAAAAAAAAGACCTATTAATGTAAAATCCAATATCCAGTGAGTATATTCCTCAGTATTGAAGAAAAACGAACACAATCTCAGACGAAGGAAAACAAGAAATTTGTTGCCATCAGATATACTTTTTAAAATGATTAAAGAAAGTAATAAAAGAAACTTGCAACAAACATAAAGTACAATTTAAAAGAATGAAAACAGGCCCTCCCTGGTGGTGCAGTGGGTTAAAGTGCAGCACTGCAAGCTAGCCATAGTCACTTCAGTGTGAGTTCAATCCCCTGCCCTGGAGGTGATCCACATGGCAGCAACAGACCTCTCCTGTCTACCCCACTGCTCCCCTCAACAGTGTACTTTGTCAATCTGCCTGTTGTGCTCCCCACTCTGTCTCTGAATCCTCTCACCTCCCCTGTACCTCTGGCCTGTACCCTAGTACTGTATGCATAAATAAATAAGTCTTTAAAAAAAAATGAAAATATGGGTAAATACAAGAGACATTCTTATTCCTCTTGAGATTTCTAAATTATGCAGATAGTTATGTATGTAAATATTTTCTGAGTAGTTCCTCAATGTGTTTTAGAAGAAATATTTAATAAATTATAAATAGGGCAGGATAAAAGGATTTAAAGAGTGGGAGGGATTCTATCCTTCATTTGAACCAGTAAAATGTCCATCTAGTTGTGCACACACAACGTAGTATTTAGAACAGTCACTAAAAACCCATAAGAGATTCAAGTAAATTATAGATTCTAAAACTGGAAACCTGAAAAAATTTCAAGTAATCTATAGGTCTGTAAGAAAAAAGAACAAAAAAAGATAATCAGAAAACAAAAGGTAAAAAAATAAAATAAAATAAAATAAAGACTTTCTCTTCCAATCATTAAAATGTAAATGACAAGTAAAAGGTAAAGGCACCAATTAAAAATAGGTTAGTGTTAATTAAAAAGATCAATCATCTACATGAGAAACTAACTTCAAATATTATAACATAGGTAGCTTGAAAATTAAAGCATTGAGAAAGTGATGCTTGTGAACATTAGTCAAAGGAAAGCAAAAGTGGCTATTTCATATTCAAATGAAGTATAATTGAAATAAAAGAAAAAAAATTCTACCTTCTGCTTAACTGAAAGCATACATAGACCAATTCACAATTAGAGTCAAGGATTTGAGTATTCCTTTCTATCAGCAGTTGATAGAAAAACTAGATAGAAAATTGACAAAGATAAGAACTCAATAACACAACCAACACAAAGGGTCTTAGTGATATCTACAGATAACTCTACCTCACACAATTTTTTTTTTCATATAAAGAACAGTGTATATGATTTAGGGGAGAGTGTTACAGGAATTATTATTCTTCATTGGCAGTTTTTATTTTTGATCATTTTAAATACATCACTCTATTCTCTTCTCATTTATTTAGTTTCTGCTGAGAAGCCTGATGGGAATACCTTTATAAGTCACCTGTTTTCCTTCACTAGCTGGCTTTAATATTCTTTCCTCTGCCTTTAAGCCTTGCTAGTTTCACTACATGTGTCTTGATGTTGGTATTGTTGCATTTAGGTATCCAGGTGATCCTTTAGCTTCCTAGACTTGTTATATTTAATTCCTTCCCCAGTTGTTGGAAGTTTCTCTTATTATTTCATTATTTAATGAATGGCTGATTATTATTTCATTGATTTCCTGAATTTCTGTCATTTTCTTTTATAGCGCTTCAATTTCTACCTTCTGCTTATTGATTTTATTTCAGGGCTT